GGAAATCCAGGTTGAAAAACACATCTAACCCATGTGTTTTATCCCATTTGACCAATTTCTTAGTGGTTTTTTGAGCAACGAACCACTAGATTTACTCGCAAGAATGGGACAAAATCTATAATCAGTGTGTACACCAATTACAATTGATTGAGGAATAGCAAATCAGCATTTACATCCAACCAAACATAATTTCTGAGTTTTGATATATGAATATCATGGTATTTTGAGGAAGATCTGGAAGCACTTCAAGTTCAAATCGGACGATTAAAACTTGAAAATGAACCTCTAAAACAATTAAATGCCAAATATATAATGATATTTCATATTATAAACTAATAATATCACGTGATATTATAATTATAATAGTTTTATTTAAATAATGTGATTAGTATTTAACTGCTTTATATTTTCAAAATTAAAAGAAAAATTATTCAAAAATTAGGTTATTTTAATAAAATGCTATAAGAAAAAAAAATTAAAAATAATCTAACTCATACTTTAAAAATAAGGTATTACAATCTTTTTTAATAAAAGTTTATTAAAATGATATAATTTTAAATGAATTTTTCTCCTAGTTTTTTGAGAGATAAAGCATATATCTACTATTCCCCTAAGAAATGCTCCCTTTAATTTGATTTAGTTGTTCCATACCAATAAGAATTTGGTCAAATTGATATCCTCTAACTAAAACACAAAGTTTTTAAAATCGAATCGATCATTGAACCATTTTCAAGTTCGGTTCTTGATTTGACCGATTCAATTGGTTGAATCGATGAACCAACCAATCCAAACAACAAGGGAGAATTTGATAAGAGGGGCAGGCCAGGCGGGCAGCATACACTTCCAGAGTTAAAATCGGTATAAGAAAGGAATGGTGAGGGTGAAATTGGAAAAAATAGAAAGAAGATTACATAAGAAATTGAACCAGTGGCTTTTTCAGTTTTAACGGTTCCACCGGTTTTGACCAGTTTTGACATCAAATGATTTTTTTATGTAAATCGAACCATTTTCATTACCAGGTGCTGATCTGACCGATTCAACCGGTCGATCAGGTCCAATTTTAAAAACCTTGCTAAAAAACTTTAATTTCAAAGTTAAGATTTGTTATATCAAGTAGTTAACTCTTCAATGTATCATAAAAAATATTTAATTGGTTTAGATTGACTTTTATATAAAGTTTGATTTCATATAAGTTGTAAATAAATGATAATTGAATTATTTTTTTCCTTTTGCACTTAGTTTTTATTGAGCATTTTCAATTAGATATTAAGGAGTTGGTATTTTCTATTAGATCAATTTTTTTTAGTATTGTTATTCATTTATTATTTTCACTTGCCCCTTAATGGGAACACTACCCTGGGTTGGACGTCTGATTCCCCAGGAATCACTTTCCCCCATCTCTTATAGTATAGTAGGAATATTTGTAAAAAATTACCTTTATTCAAAAATATTAGATCAATTTTTTACTGTTGTTATTCATTTATTATCTAAAATTATCAAATTATATTACAAAAAATTGAGGGATTAGAACAATTAAAAAAAAGATTAGGGGGATCATAAGAGAGTGGCTCACTATTTAAGATTTTGAGACTTGAAATTGGAGATTTCAAGTTTAAATTTTGAGTGAAATAAAAAGAAATTTAAGGGAAGAAAAAAACTCTTACCTCTTGTCTATCTCATCTTCACAAATGCACGAAAAAAAATATTAAAGGGAATAATATAATAATATAAGTAATAATATAAGTATTGATGGGTATCATTAATAATTTAAATAATTTAATGATAATTTATTTTTATTAAAAATAAAAATAAAACCTCTTAGTTTGAGTGGAATCATATACACGTGAGATAACATAGGGTTAACTTAATTTATGCAACCCCAAATAAAAAAAAAAGGATATTGATAAGTATTGATAAATAAATAAAATAATAATAAATGAGGTTAAATTTAAGATTTGAAATCAAAGATATGATATAAATTATATTATATATATTAATTAATTTAATAACATAACATAAATTACACTATTAATTTTAAATTTTTATTTTAAATTTTCATTTTCACTGTCCTTAGTCAAATAAATGTTCAATAAGCGTCGAGAAATAAATATTCGTAAGTATTGATATGTTCAGGAGCTAATCCACATCAAATCAAT